TGCCTGGTCAGGGAAGCGCCACGTCCTTCTGGCCAAAGTTAACCTGAGAAAAATACCCATAAGTTGAAAACAAAAAGCAGAGTACTAAATTCTATATTAAATGTGAATCTAGTTAATAAAATACAGAAAAGTTTGCCATATGTATGTAGGCAAATAAATTATGTGCATCCTAAATATCACTAGTAATTTATCCTTTGGGCAGTTGGGGTTATAAGTGATTTTTATATCCTTTATTATTTTTTGGTTTGCAAGTTTTCTCATTATGTTGTTGTTAAGATCCATTGAATTGGTTCCAACACATAGCGACCCTGTATAGGGTTTCCAAGGAGCATCTGGTAAGCTTGAACCACCGATCTTGCAGTTCAAACAGCTTTGCAAAGCTAATTTAACCCACAGGACCACACCAGGACTCCTATGAGCTATTATAAATCAGGAAAAAATATTTAGAAAAACTTGAGACATTAATTAAGGTCTACCTTCAGTAATTACCAAGATATTGATTAGTGTATTTCAAAACTTATTACTTCACAGTAGTCATTCATTCATTTTAATCGCACAGTGAGTGCCTGCCCTGCCAAGCATTATTTTGAGTTCCAGCTAACTTGCAGTAAACATAACAGATACAGTGCCTTCCTTCACTGATCTTATATCCTGATAAAGGACAAAAGACAACAAATAGCTTAAAGATCTGTATCTTATATATAATCTTGCATATTGACTTGGGTGTAATTTTCTTTGCTTTGATATGTGTAAATGTGTCATTTTGTTTTTAAAAGTACATATACTATATAAGTACTTCTTGTCTATTTCTGGACCGTTTTGTTTATTCTCTTCCCTGCATGTACACAGTGTCTGGTGATAGTGGACATTGGAAGGGTCATAAATGGTCTTTTTGAAAGAAACCCAGATTCTGCATCCCCTAGAGGAGAGGTTTTCCAGGACACGAAACTTTCAGTGCTGAAACCAAAACAGATCAGGTATTCGTTCAGTTGGTTACAGTAGATTGTGATCAAAGCTGTGGTGGTGATGTGCATGGGATGCTGGGGACATCCAGGAGGAACACCCAGCTTTGAGAAATGTGAGCAGTGTTCCAGGAAACGTACCATAGGAGCTGATTTCTGGAAGGCGAGCAGCCAGGCAGAGAGGGCCCACTAAATTTTTCATATTTACTAAGTTTCATCTTGTTTGTAAGGTTGTTGTTGTTGTTGAGTGCCATTGAGTCGGGTCCGACCCATAGCGACCCTGTACAGGGTTTCCGAGGGTGTAAATCTTTACGGGAGTAGAAAGCCTCATCTTTCTCCCTGTTTGTAAGGTAGACATTTGCATTTGCTTAGGTGACATGGGCTCTGATGCTACTCTTCTGTGTAGTGAGTGCTAACCGTAGGATTTGACCCTCTTGGTCCATCCATAGCCAGCATCCATGAGCCCAGCAGCCTGTGTCAGGAGGATGTGGTCAGGTACTCACAGCACTCCAGGTCACTCTCGTGCCCCTTTGGATGCAGCTGCAACATAATCTTTTGTGAGAGGCTGCTAGACAAAACCCAGATACTTTGCTTCCTCTGCTTTATTTCTCTGCCACCCAAATATTCTCATGTGCATTTGTGTTGTATACAGAGTTTACTCTGTGGGCATCATGGTAGTGCTGAATATACTGTCTGTCTGTGCTGGAGGAAGGATTGGTCCCATTCTTTTTCATTCACACTCTCATCCCATCTGTTTCATTGTGTTTTGCATCTTCTTTCCTTTTGTTTTTGTTTTTTCCTATGTATGTTCTACTGCTCTAGGCCAGCTGGTAATATCCACAGGCTTTTGCTCTGAAGTTTACAAATACACACATTTGCTAATTCAGAATTTTTTATGTTCAGTTCTGTGATATTGATTATATTCTTCATGTTGAGCAACCACCCTCAGATCCATTGCCACATTTTCCATCACTATGAATAGATGCCGAATGCCTCCAGAAAATGGACTCTGCCTCTCTCCTGCCTGGTCTTTATACATTTACCTATTCTAGATATTTAATATAAGTGGACTCATACAATACTTTCCTTTTTGTGCTACATTTTTCACTCAGCATAATGTTTTCAAAATTCATCCATGTTATAGAACGTATCAGGACTTCATTTTTCTGTATAGATGAATTCAAGACTTCATAGTATGAATAGACCACATTCTACTAAATTGTGTGTATCCATTCATCTGTGGATGGACACTTGGATTGTTTCCACCCTTGGGCGATTGTGAATATTCATGTGCAACTACCTGTTTGTGTTCCTGCTTTTGATTCCTTGTGTTATATACCTAGTTGTGGAATTGCTTAGTGGAGTCCTGGTGTGGTGCTGTGGGTTAATGCACCAGACTGCAAAGCTGTTTTAACTGCAAGGTCAGCAGTTCAAGTTCACCAGCTATTCCTCGGAAACCCTATACAGGAGTCGTAATCGACTCGATGGCACTTAACAACAACAATCTATTTTTAACTTTTTGAGCTTTCACTGTACTGTTTTCAACATGAGCTATACCATTTTGCATTCCCACCAGCAGTGAATTACGATTCCAGTTTCTCCACATCCTCTGAATTTTATCTTAGGTTATTGAATCTGTTTAATGTAGTTAGTATTGTTTTTAGGTGCTATCTAGTTGCCCAACCCTGTGGACAATAGAACAGAATATTACCCAGCCCTCCTCACAGTTGTTATGCTTGAACCCATTGCTGCTGCTGCTCCTGTGCGAATCCATCTCAATGGGCATCTTGCTCTTTTTTGCTGATCCTCCACTTTACCAAAATGATATCCTCAACTAGGGACATGTCCAAAGTGTGAGAGACAAAGTCTTGCCATCCTATATTCTAAGGAGCGTTCTGCCTGTACTTCTTCCAACACAGATTTGTTTGTTCTTCTGGCAGTCTGCAGTACTTTCAGTATTCTTCTCCAGCATCACAATTCAAATGCATCAATTCTTCTACAGTCTTCCATATTCATTGTCCAACTTTCACATGCATATGAGGGTATTGAAAACACCATGACTTGGGTCAGTCCTCAAAGTGACATCTTTGCTCTTGAACAAATGAAGCCTTGTGTAGCAGATTTGCCTAATGCAATATGTTGTTTGATTTCTTGACTGCCGCTTCCATGAGTGTTGATGGTACATCCAAGTAAAATGAAGCCTTTGACAACTTTAATCTTTTCTCCATTTACCATGATGTTGTTTATTTCTCCAGTGGTAAGGCTTTTTGTTTTCTTTATATAGAAGTGCAATCCATACTGAAGGCTGTGATCTTTGATCTTCATCAGTAAGTAATTCAAGTTCCTTTCGCTTTCAGCAAGCAAGGTTGTACCATCTGCACATCACAGGTTGTTAATGAAGCTTCCTCCAATACTGATGCCTCGTTCTTCATATTATCCAACTTTTCTTATTTGCTCAGCGTACAGGTTGAATAAGTATGGTGAAAGAATACAGCCTTTTACACACCTTTGTTAATTTTAAGCCATTCAGTGTTCCCTTGTTCTATTCTAACAAATGCCTTTTAGTCTATATACAGGTTCCTCATGAACACAATGAAATGTTCTGGAATACTCATTCTTCATAATGTTGTCCATAGTTTGTCAGGATCCATACAGTTGAAAGCTTTTGCATGGCCAATAAAGCACAGATAATCATCTTTCTGGCATTCTCTGCTTTCCACTGTTTCTTACCACAGATGTTGTCAGTTGTGTATTCCACCTGGTGAGGTCCATGTGTATACTCACCTTTTATGTTGTTTTAAAGGTACTTGCAATGAGCACCTGTCAAAATTCTTTCATGTGATCTCCAGTATAATTTCTAACACCAAGACCATGCTTTCCCAACTACTGATCCTTCTTTTTTGTTTCAAACTTTTGCATGCCAATCACCAGTAATTATCAGTGCCTCTTCATTGCATGTTTGAACAGTTTCATATTGAAGAAGCTAGTAAAATTCTTCAGTTTCATCATCATTGGCTGTAGAGGTTGGTGCGTAAATTTGAATAATAGTAGTATTAGCTGATCTTTCTTGTAGGTGTATGGATATTATCCTATCACAGACAGCACTGTAGCTCAACACAGATCCTCAATTTTTTTTTTTAAATGATGAACGCGACCCCATTCCTCTTGAATTTTCTGTTCTCGCCATAGTAAACTGAATGGCCATTGAATTCACACTGGCCAACACCAGTCCGTTTGAGCCCACTAGGATATCGAACGTCATGCTTTGCATTTCATTTCTGACTGCCTCCACTTTTCGTAGCTTTAGACTTCGCACATTCCATGTTCTGATTGTTAATGGATGTTTGCAGCTGTTACTCCTAATTGAGTCGTCCATCAACAAATGAAGGTCCCAAAAGCTTTACACCATTCACGTCATCATGGTCAACTCTACTTTGAGGAGGCAGCACTTCCCCACTTCTCTTTTGAGTGCTTGTCTACCTGAGGGGCTCCTTTTCCAGCAGTAATAAGACAGTATTTTGGTGATATTCATCATGTTTCAGTACTCAATATTCTGGTGCTATCTGACAGTGTTTGGCTGCTATTCGTAAGGTTTCAGTGGCTATACATTCCAAAATAGGCCACCTTTCCTTCTTCCTAGCCTGTCTTGGTCTGGAAGCTCCACTGAAACCTGTCTACCATGGGTGGTCCTGCAGGTATTTAAAATACTGGTAGCATAGCTTCCAACATCCCAGCAACACTCAAGCCACCACAGTATGACAGACTGACAGTACAGTGGTGGATAGTTAGTATTAAGCTTCCTTTTTTCCCTTGGCACTGAACCATTTTCATCGCCGCAAGTCCTTATCCAGGGAAACCCCACAGTTACGGAGAACAGTGGGGAAAGTGACCTCGGAAGCTGCTACGTCACAAGAGACTTGGATGATTCTTAGGTTTGTTTCCTTGTACCCAGTATGCAAATCGTTTTCATCATGGACTGTATTACCAGATGATGTTATGTCAGAGGAAATGGGTAATCTCTTCCTGTTTTATCACTAGCCAAAGGCTTTTGAACAATACTTGAATCTGGAAGACAGCAGGCTGCTGAGTCATCTGAAGACGTGTTCCGCATTGCCGCTACTTCCCTACGATCTCTGGTTCAGACGGTGCTTTGCAGGATGCTTGCCAGAATCCAGCCTGCAGAGGCAAGTATTCCAGTGGCATGTCGAATGTGTATGCTCATTCCTCAGAACACATATGTGCTTCCGAGCCGTCCAGTCACACGAGGCTGCCGTGTCCAGCAGCTGACACCACCACTCACGGCTCTGCTTATGGTTGCCAGTTCATTCAGAAACAGTGAGGGCCCTCAGCATGTTAGGTGCTGGCTCATTGTAGTTACATTTGACACCGTTTCCAGGAGTTTCTAGACAGGGCCTTTCCTTTTCCAGAGATGTGGTCATTGTAAATCCCAAGAACATCTTGTTAGGTCTCAGTTCAGCATGGCACCGCCAGAGCAGCGGATGGCAGTCAAACATCTGAACCTGAAACTCAGCCTTTTCCGTCTGTTTCAGACATTTGTTATGGGCAAGTGCTGCGGGTCCCAGAGTGGAATAGGCCATGAGTGCCTGGTGCCTCCCCTCCAAGCCCTTCTGAGGCAGTTAAGAAAGGCAATGTGCAGAGAACGTTACAGGACAAATAACAATACAGAGAGCGTAGTTTCAACTTTCAGAATTGTAGGAATTATCTGAACTGTTATTTTAGTGTGGTGACAGGTCAGTAGGAGTCCCCAGGTGGTACAAACGGTTAGCTTGCTCAGCTCCTAACTGAGAGGTTTGAGTTCAGAACTCAACTAGAGTCACCTCAGAAGAAAGGCCTCATGATCCCCTTCCAACAATCAACCACGGAAACCCCACTCTGACACACATGACAAGTGCTGATTGTGGCTGGGATCAATTTTAAATGATTGATCGATTTTGTTGTTGGGTTAGTAATCATTTCACAGCGATTCTCTGAATCTTATGCTTAAAATAGAAGGAGTAATTTGATCCAATTTTATAATTTGAGATGTCTAGGTAAACATAAATTTCATTCCCCTATAATGTAATTTAATTGCATCTCTGTTTTTTTGTAGAGTTTGGGACAAAGTTGTAAGTGGATCCTGTAAGATCCTAGTTTTTGTAGCAGTGGAAATCTTACTAACCTTTAAAATAAAAGTAATGGCTCTGAACAGTGCTGAGAAGATCACAGAATTTCTGGAAAATGTAAGTGTGCTTCATCTGATACAATTTAGAATCTGGGCAAGAAGCCAGTTTAGCGAGTCAGATTTTCCTACTGTGTTAAATTATTCCAGAGTAAAGATACGGTATCTTTTTAGTTTATAACAAACATTTTTTCACTTGAGAATGTTTTGATTCAAAGTTGATCTGTGGATAATACGGTGCAGAGGGTTAGGGACTGCTAACATAAGGTCTGCAGTTCAAACCCACCAGCTGCTCCACAGGCAGATCCTGAGGCTGTCTGCTCCCATGAAGATTTACAGTCTTAGAAACGCAAAGGAGCAGTTCTACTCTGTTCATAGGCTCGCTATTAGTTGGAATCAACTCTACAGCAGTAGGTTTGGTTTTGGTGGGTGGTGATGTACCCTCTGTGTGTGGGCAGGTGATGGTCAGGGCATTGTGACTGTCAGGGGTGTGCCAAGAACAGAGGGTGAGGAGACATGGCACCAGAGGATGACTGAGGTTTTTGTTAAGGAAAAGGAGTCCTGATATTTGGGGGCATGTTGTACTCTCATTCATTTCTGTTACTGTGTCTGGCATAATCCCACTTGGGTTGATTATTAATTTAGTGCCTGTTGAGAAAAGTCTAAATGAATCAGCCTTTCCCTGTATGTCTCTTAGACTAGAATGCTGACTACCTGGTGAGAAGTAGAATGAAGAGACTTATTCCTGGATGGATTTCACAGGAGCCAAAATCTTTTCTTTTTTTTTTTTTAAAAAAAACAGGCAAGATTAATTTTTGAAAAGTAGCTGATGAATAGAAAGTCCTGGGTGGATGTGTACTAGGTAAATGAACCCTCCCCTGATAATCACTAGTGGCCACGTGCCGAGGACTGTGCTCAGTGTTTGTCGTGGTTAGCCCAGGTCATCCTGTAAACAGCTCAGTGCAGAAGGGCCATCACCATGCCTGTTTTAGAGATTGCGTAGGTAGCCGCCTGAGGTCACAGAGTGAGTAGACAGCGTGGGATTTGAACCTAGAACCTGAATACCAGAGCCCTATTGTAGTGTGTTTGTGGGCAACATGTGAAACAAAGCTCCTGGAACACCTTTGTTGTTGTTGTTGTTGCTGTTGTTGGATCATTTCCTTGTCTGTCTGCCTGCCTGTCTGTCTTTCCCTCTTTCTCTGTAACAAGTCTACACGTAATGGAATACCTGACAGTTGAACAGTCTCCACACGGACAGAGCGTGGCATCTGTTTATCATGTTGCTCAGGCCTTAACCTGTAACAGAATCTCTGCTCCCTCTCAGTAGTGATCCCCCTTCGCCCTCCTTCCAGCCCACCCCAGTAGCCACTAGTAGAATTTGGTTTCTAGACACGTATGCTAGTTCTAGATACTTGATATGAGTGAGTGCGTCCACTATCCATCCCTTGTGGAGAAGCTGTCACTCAGCATCTGGCAACTTTTTTCATAAAACCAGTGAAAGTCCAGTAGAAAGTAGTGTTCTGCCACAGCAAATGAGAAGGATGCTGAAGTCATTCACACTGAAATTTCCTGAGGACCATTTTGCTTGTTCACAGATTCCACAGGACAGCTCGGATGCCATTGTGAGTAAGGCCATCGACTTATGGCACAAACACTGTGGGACTCCAGTACATTCTGCCTGAGCATTCCTGACACCTGGGAGCAGGCTGCCCGGCCTGCCTGGAGCGTACTGTTTGGGGACGGAGTCTACTAACCTGAGTGAAAACCAGGTGCTTGCTCTGGTGCTCAAAGTGTCACTTTTTTTTTCCTTAATAAAATTATTTAATTGAGGTCCCTGCTGAGACTGTGTTGTGGAGCAGCGTCTTTTGTCTTTCGGTTACATAGAAGTACAAAGTTCACCTCTGGAGAGCATTTTCAAAGGATTGCTAGAAAATAACTCCCAGTTTTAAAGCCATTCAGTCAAGGTGAGTGGGCATATGAGTAAGCTTGTCTGTCTCTCCCTAGTTAGCACCAAGCTAGTTCCTGTCTATGGTCTGTTTCTGGAATGAAGAACCATTTCCTTTGTTGCCACTTCAGATTGAACTTTAGTTGATTCAGGATTTAAGTCTAAACTGTCAGTTGAGGCTTCATCTTGTTCAATAGGCTTTAACAAGTCCTAACTTTTTTTTCTCTTTGTGAAAAATGAAACTCCAGTTGAAAGTCACTGAACAAAATCTGCCTAAATTCCCTATTAGGATTTTTTTTTTCTGTGTGTGTGGGGGTCACTTAAACGCTGGGAGGCCTTTGGGGAACGCTCTGCCACACTCCGTAGGAATGGGAGAAATTGCAGGCTAAGGCTAATAGCTAGTGGCCCTGGGCCATATTGTGCCCCATGATGCTTTCTGTTCATGGGACAGTTCCAAACTTTGAGACTCTGGTCAGTGAAATGGGCCTTTGTCTCAGACTGGTCTGTGAGAAGGGGCTTAGATGTCACCATTCAGCTGTCAGACCTGTAAAAACCCGATTTCAATTCTCCACCACCTACCTGCTCTCAACAAAAGGAGGAGACCATGAAATGATGGAGAGTTCTGAGAATTCAGTCCTCCCTCATTTATAAAAGACTCTTGATCTATGATGCCTACCCAATGTCCGCTGCAGCCATGGGAGTGCAGGTGGAGACCATCTCCCCCGGAGAGGGCACATGTTCCTGAAGCGCGGCCAGACCTGCGTGGTACACTACACAGGAATCCTTGAAGACAGAATGAAATTTGATTCCTCCTGGGACAGAGACAAGCCCTTTAAGTTTATGCTAGGCAAGCAAGAGGTGATCAGAGGCTGGGAAGAAGGGGTTGCCCAGATAAGTGTGGGGCAGAGAGCCAAACTGACCATCTCCCTAGACTATGCCTGCGGTGCCACTGGGCACCCAGGCATCATCCTACCAAACGCCACTCTTGTCTTTGATGTGGAGCTTCTAAAACTGGAATGACAAGAATGGCCTTGTCCCTTAGCTCCCTCTTCTTGGATCTGCCATGGAGGGATCTGGTACCTCCAGACACGTGCACATGACTCCGCATGGAGCTTTCCCCGACGTTCATTTACACTTTTTCTATAAACATCATCCCTGACTGAATGTGTTCCATCACTCAGCTTTGCTTCTGACACCTCCGCTTCCTCTTCGCCTTTCTCCTTGTGTATATGGTGAGTTAAACTATATGCCATCCACCTCAATTACTCATTTTATTTTGCTCTGGTTTTGGGGTGAAGATTCAGTCTTTTGGATCTAGGTTTTCAATTAAGCATATGGGGGTGGGAGGAGGGTATAAGAACTTAATTTTTTGGATGAAACTTTTGTGCTACTGCACTGCAAAGCCATAGCAGATATGAGGCATTGAAGGCTGAATTTTTCTCCAAGTTGCGAGATGTCCTTGATTTGAATTCAAAGCGCTACCCCAAACTGAAGTGGGGAAGCGGAGCGCCTTTGTCTTCCCTGGCTCTACTCACCTTCCCTTTAAACCTTATGCATTTTGAAAGCAGATGGTTTCCACTGTGTTAGTGGACACTACAGATATCTGTCCCCTGGCAGCATGGACCTCTGAAGCTGCCTTTGTGTCCTGGTTTGCCTTTTTTTTGGCCATCCTATAGTTTTTCTAACAGCTTTTCAGGACTTTTATAATTTCATAACTATCAAAACTCTACCACTTCCTAAATTTTAAGAACTTTAATTGAAAAGTTTAAATTGAAGGTGCTGTTTGTAGACATGTAACACCCAATGAAAGCCCAGCCACTATGACCAATCCTTGAGTGTTCTCTTAGAAAATGAGGCTGGTCATTGCAGCTTCAGCATCTCCTGCTTTTTGATGCTCAGCTCCCCCTGCTGATCTCAAAAGTTTCCTGGCTTTTCCATCCCCCTCTCACCCTTTGCTGTCCTGTGCAGTGATTTGGTGAGAGAAGTTGCTACTGCCCCATCCTCTTCCCATCTTCTGCACCACATAAGAATTTCAAGTTTTATTATCACAATAAAAGTACTTTATGCTGGCAAAAAACAAAACCAAAACCAAACACCACACTCAGAAGAAAGCTGTCCTAAAGCTGCCTATAGTTACACTGGTTCCTGCCTCACTTACCAACTATCTTGTTACCTGACATTTCACATTAATGGCAATAGTAGCAAATGCACTTTCTTAATGATTTTACACGTTAACCATGGTCATTTGACAGTAGTGAACGTCGAATCGTGAGGTGAGAGTCATGTTGGCTGTGAGCATTAATGGTTTTGCATCAACTGGGCAGGGCCAGGAATTGCAGTGGTTTGGCAGTTTTGTAAAGATATGATCGATCATCCTCCATTTTCACATAATGCTGATATTTCATAACAAGCTGGTCTTTGGAACCTCACCATGTTGCTAAGTGAGGAGTGGGTGTACTCTGAAAAAAGTGACTCCTTCAAACCTTTGTTTAGTCATTGCCTCTGTCCAACTAGGAATTATCAGGACAAAGCCAAACCTACAAGACACAACCAAGGAAAGATTCCTGCCCTAGCTGTCCACTGTTCAGTGATCATTAAAAGCATGTGAAACTCGCAATAAGACAAAACTAATTTTCCTCCTTCTGAAGAACCACACATGGTTTGCACATTTTAGTACGGTAGAGATTATGATGTCAAATGAAGAGAGTGAATCCCAACTCCAGCCAAAGAAAACCTGGCGATCTTTCAACAAGAGGAGAAGTCCAAGATATGAGCACATGCTTGCTAACACTAAATGCTGAGAAATGATGACTTACAGCATCAGGACTGCACGTGTGGGACACAGACGGGTGGGTGGGGGCAGCTAGGGACCAGATGATTTGAAGTGAAAGACAACTACTGCATTGCAAAAGGATCTAAAAATAAATTCTGCAGCTATACTCTGCTGTGCCCTGTTTGGTAAAGCCTTTTGGTCTATGGGGATTGGAATGGGGATTTTTTTTTTTCTTTTTAAGTGAGTCAGTCTGATTACCATCAAAACAGTTTCCCTTATGAGAAATGGAGCCTTCTAACTAAAGGATTAAGTCCCGACCCTAAGCAAAGTGATGTGGGTGAGAATCCAATTTTCCGTCAGTATCGGTATTTGGTTCTGCTGAGAGCAGTTTTGGAACAGCCTCTGCAAGTATGCTGCCTTGGGTGAGGAGCACACCTCCTGATGAGAAGACTGCCATAGTGGCTTCATTCAGACCATTTTGTCAGATTCTGTACAATTCTTTTCTTACACTAAGTCCCGGGTTTCTGTCTTGGTCAAACAATTGCAGAAAATGGGGGTTTTGCATCATTCAATGTCATTTCTATTCCTTCCCTTCTAAAGTGTCTTGAAGGAGAGAGAATTTCTACATCCACTTGGTTAGAAGATAATAATGACCAAGGAAGGTTGGCCATTTGTGTGTGTTTGTGAGAGAGAGTGTATGTGCATGTGTCATGTGCACACATGTCAGAGTGTGTGTAGATTTTGCATGAGGATGAATTGGCCAATTAAATTGTATGGATTCAAGCTTGCGTGTGTCTGATGCTGTGTCAGGGAATGAGGTCAGGGTTCATTAGGAGTGCCTTTTTTGTTCATGGAAATCTGAAACGTGAGGCAACACCCAAACCGCATGATGTTACTGTTACTTTGGGTATGACACATGCCTGCCCTATTTTGAATTGCTTCAGAACCCTCATGAGCTGCAGCACAAACCAGTTCCTGTCATGTGGTCGTTACATCACTTTACAGAGAAGCTTCCGAGGGGAGGTGTGTGGGGATGAGAAGTCAGTTTGCCATGAAGTGGACTCCAATTCATAATGACCCCATGCATGCCAGAGTAGAACTGTGTTCTGTAGGGTTTTCAATGGCTGGTTTTTTTGGATGCAGATTGCCAGACCTTTCTTCAAGGTGCCTCTGGGTAGACTCAAGACTCCATCCTTTCAGTTAGCAGCTGAGTATGTTGATGCCCCAAAACTAGATCTTAAGTTACAACCTCTACCTGGGCTATGAGGTTTTAAACAGGAGTGCCGTTCTGCGTCTTTCCACCAAAGGTGGGCTTTTGCAATCAGGGGTGGGGTGGGAGAGCGGGAGTTAGAAGCAGTGGACAGTCCCTAGTCCCTGTCAGAGTCCCTGGTTCTGCATTTTGCATCTGCCCCAATCACAGGGTAGGCAGCAGTTTTGGTCTTCAGTTGGGGGTTGGGGTTTGGAGGGGCTCTTGAGAGCTTTGCCCAGCCTTCCTTGTACACAGGGAATGGGAAGCCTTCTTTGTTGCAGAGGTTGGTGGTGTTCCCTCTGGTGGATGAAACTAAGTGCTGCTTCTTCTTCAGACTCTGCCAGATGCCATTGTTGTGGCTCTTGGCACAAGCTCCCTTTGCAGATCATCTGTTGCTTATCCAGAGTCAACACTTGATAGCATAGAAGGGAGACCATAGGCCAAGGAAGGCATGGTAGGAGCAAGAAGGAAGCAATTTTCCAGGAGGCCCACATGGAAGGAGGGGTGTAGGCCAGGTGGGGGAGAGGTAGGGCGAGCGTGCTGCCGTCTGCTCCCCTGACACCCCCTTTCTTCCTTAGTCTCTTCTTCAGTCTTGACTTCTTAGAGGGTGTGGGACAGAATTAAAAAGACCCTGCAGGGACCCTTCCATCCCCTGACCTTTGTTTGATCCATTTGGCTGCAGTCCCTCACTGTGGTCTAGATCGCTCTGCTTCCC